AGACTATGAGGATAGTGTTAGACTATGAGGATAGTGCTAGTCTATACCTGAGCAATCTGAGCGAGATTTCTGTGACAGCTGAGTTCCTGCTGTATCTGTGTGGACATTATGACGTGTGGGTTGATGGTGATGGAGGGTCCTATCGTGCCGAAGGTCACCACGAACTGTTTACTGTCGCTCTTCCACTGGATGTGTATCTGTAATACATCACATACTGTTTACCGAAAAATGTTCACCCAATCAAATTTTCGACCCTTTGACGCTTAATACAATTTGCGCCCACATTCAATCCGACCTTCACATTTAATAACTATGTATATTATCTTTTTTACAATTGTTTGCTGTAATGTTAAATTCACCCTTATTACAGAGGGCGATAAAGGCGAAAATTAAACTGCAGTGAAAATTTCCCAGTATACAGGAATCGAAAGTATATCTAGTCTGCTTCAGTTGATAAAAATATAAAATAGCCTAAGAGATTCCAAAGGGAAATACACAAGACAAGCTAGTTAACGGGAAGAATCTACTTTAAATACGGAATTTGAGAGAAAAATCTCTTTACTTTCTGAGAAACAGCAACAATTTTATTTTTTATTTTAAACAACCAATCATTTGATCGATCATGGCAGGCTAAATGGCCTCAGATAAAATAAAACAGCATCAATACAACTGGACAAAATTCAAATTTAATGCTGATACAGAAAGATTTAAACTGGAATTGAGAATAAGTCCAGTGTGATGAAATAGACAGAAAAATGTCAACTAAGGGCTGCTGAATGCTGAATTTCTAAAATCTTATTCTGAGGGAGGAAATGTCTTTGTCTTAATCTCCAGAACAACTGATTACATTTCCCCCAAACGCTTTCCTGCTGTTAATATAATTGAATATTTTACCTATTACATAAATAAAAGGCTGTCATTTTAATACCTGTTGGCCAAAACTGATGATGCAATCCCATTGTGATATGGTAATGTCATTTAAATAGGATATTCTTGAAGCTGCTGTGCTGTCATAAATGGTTAAGTGGTGAAATTTTCTGAATAAAGACAGGTTTGGGCTGTCCTTATCTAGGGAGATAAAGACAGATTTATCATTATGATTTTAAATGATGTTACAATCATTTTGATCGAATAGGAGACAAAATATTGGAGACTGAACTCACCAGACTGGACCTGTTGGGGCCGTACACTAGGGTGAGCTTCCTGTAGCTGTAGGAGTGGACATCCACAGTGCTCCGCAGTCCTGACCGCTGGTCTGTGAAACAATTAAGGTCAGGCATTACAGTACATTCATCCCTGCATCGTGCGTGATAAAAACAAGATGGGGAACATCTCAAAGGCAATTAAAAAGTTTACTTTATTTTCTTTTTAAGGTTTTAATTGAAAGCAATTTAAAGCTCTTCAACTTGTACAATTAAGAGACCATGTAAAGGAAGGCATCGTTTTTTGTCAAAACTGATTCAACTGTACTGTATTTTTATTACACTTGTCAAAATGGTTAGATATTTAATCATGAAAAAAACCCAACATCAATTTAACTTTCCGTATTAAAGTGCACTAACACCATTCAAAAGAAGAAATCAAAATTTACATACCATTGTAGATTTCAGCGAAATCAGCGACGAGGCTGTAGAGGTGACAGATAGAGTACCACTCATCAATCACCTCCTTCACCACCTTCTTAAGGTTGTCCAAGTTTAGCTCATGCATGAAAATGACACGCTGCACCGGACCTGAGGAAATATCCGTTAAAGAATTCAGTGAGACTATGGATCATACAATGCTGCTATCAATCTCAAATTGTTTTATCTCCATAAAAGTGGAGGTCTACATGCACAGTTATAATTTGTTTGTGCATATAAACCGCAACTGAAGCTCAAATCTATCTATTTCTATTTAGCTTATAGTAGTCCAAACATCAATCAGTTGCTATTAACTCTGCAATTGTTTTTCTACCATGAAAATTTCAATTACCTTTACACGTACTTACCTGATTCTTTCTTGTTAGTAGTCTCTAGCGGGGCCTTGGCAAACAAGAACTGGAACAGAAACATAAACAGTTTCTTACAAACTTTCGTTTCCCTTCCATGGGAAGTCATTACAGTATACATGGAGGAAATTTTCTCTGCATTGTAACTTTGGTCTTTTTTGCTTTCTGCAATTTTACCGATGAAGGGTGGATATTTCACTGGGTGATTATTTTCCGGTATAGAATATTTGATTGTTTTCCATCATTATTAAGTTACTTGCCTACATTTTATTAACGAAATTATTAAGATAAAAAAACTTATGAAATATTGGAGATTCAGATATGAAATGTTTTCGTGATAAAACTAACCTCGACAATCCAGTTCCTGGATGGCTTATTGAGGATGCGGAGCTTCAGGGAGAGCAGTGCCTTCTTGAGACCGTCACAGGCTCTCTTGTTACAACCTTCCACATCAGGCAGGCTACGACAGAGCAGAAGACACCAGTCATACAGGTCCGATAGCAAGATGATACAGCAATAATGATCTACGTTACTTCTCATCTCCATTGCCAGTTAATTATCAAAACATGAGCTTTTTAACCCTTTCACCCCTAAGTAACTTAAGTTAACTCTACCATGCATTGATATGGATGAGTCCATTATGGTCTACAG